AGTCAGCCACTACAAAGAGAATAAGGGGCTGGTTGGTCTCTTTCTTTGTGCCTGTACCCTTTATTCTTATCCTCCTATGTGGGGAAGGACTTTTCTCTGCTGACAGTGTTAATAGGCCCACCTTGGCGTCAGTCAAATTCTCCAGCAGGGTTGGACGCACTAAAATCCATTTTCTCAGGCAGCTGGTGATCTTCTTCATCTGTGGGTGTGGTGCTCCATGACGTCCTCCAAGGACCTAAACCTCTAAGTCCATTGCTTGCGCCTAGGATTTTCAGAAAACCAGTACTCAGAAGCTGCACGCTGACCCCCACTACCACACCCATTTGGATCTTTCCCTTGATAGAGTTTCATACTTCCCCTCAGTCTATCCTTAGCTCTTGTTAATATAGGAAAAATATAAAGAAAAGTCTGCAAGGAGCAAGCAAGACAAGAGACATGCTGTGTAGTCAGGAAAACTCCCTATGCTCTCAAGGAAAGTGTGTGATGAACAACTCTCCAATGCTGAGGATGGCATATTATATTTTTTTTTCAGAACCGGGGATTGAACTCAGGCCCTTGTCCTTGCCAAGGAAGTGCTTATTCCACTGAGCCATCTCCCCGGCCCCACATATTACTTTTACACTTCTTCTTTTGCTATTTTTATCTGCATAAATGATATGCTTTTATACTTTTTAACATTTTTTCATATATTCTGTTCTTATGGTTTTTATTTTCTTTAATTTGACAGTGCTTGAGATTAAACTCCAGGTCTCCCACTGCTTGGCTGGTGATGTACAATTGTCCAAGAACCTTATTACCTTTCCTTTCCTTTTCTCTTTGCATCTTACAGTGAAATACACTGTTGCCCTGGTTTCAAGGTTCCAGATTATTTTCATTGGTACATCTAGTGTACGGTGAACCGCCCCCCCCAGGCTTTATGTACTAGTGTGATTTTTTGCTATATTCATTATATTACCTTTCCATTCTCTGTCCTCCGATCTGGCCTTTATACACTTTTCCTATTGAAAGTGTCAGCATATTATCATGCCATTTACATCTTCTACATATGCAGAGTCTAAACTCTGTTTGGTCCTTCTCCAATATCTGCCCCTTTTGTCTTGGCAAGTTTTCAAATTTTTTTTTCTCAAAATCCACACAGGATTAACTGGATGACATTATTGGAAATAAATCTTGCACTCAGGGAAATTTTTGTATATTTGTGGGGGTTGAAGCCATATCTTCTGTACACTGCAGCTAAATTACCACAATGTTTCTTGTGAAAGTTCAACTGGTGAACATGTGTCTATCATTCCTTCAGTTTTCATTCTTTATTATATTATATTTCAGTTGACTCTTAGTAGGTGTGGAAGGAAAAAAAGCGTTACTCCATACTAGGCCTTAGGCTTCGGATTTAGTGATCTTAGGGCTCAGGCTCTCAGCTATGGTCAGGCTGTGCAGTGTCTTAGCCATTGTTCCAATTTTGTGCACCATTCTGCATCGTCATTGGACCACGGTTAAATGATTGTTAAGAGTGCAGGACTCATAGGAAAAGATTTCTCACCCGGTTCATCCAGAGAAATGGTGTCCTCATGCTCTTGCAACATGTCCCACGTAGGTATCTTGGTTTGCTACTCAGGGAGCTATTATATTACTACAGGAAATGTGTATGCATTCAATGACTGAGTGAATATTTGGAATTCTGTTACAGAAAACCAGGACAACGACAACAATGAAAAAGATCAGAAATCTCTGGCCCTCTGGTAATAATCATTGAGGTTCTTAAATGGGTTGAGAAATGTGGGTCCAATATCACTACTGATGAAAATAAAAGATCACTTGCTCCCACATATTTCATTAGGAGAGTTAACCAAAATTCCTGCTGTGGTTACATACCCTGAGTCTGTGAAGAAGTAGCACTTTGCACAAGGCATCCACTTGTCTTCACATCCATATCTATATACCTCGGTAGAACAAATCTTGTTTCAAATAATAAACACACAGAATGTATTCTCTTCTCTTTATAGATCAGTTGGGGACAAGATGCACATCTAGTTCTGTATGGGACACCTGAGTTTGTTGATAGAGTTTTCACACAATAAACACAACAAGCAAATGACTCCCATCATGTCACAATATGTATAGAAATTGTCTAGAATTTACTAGATATCTTGGATTCTACAATATCCTAGGACCACTGAATATTTTGTGCAATAAGAATTCAACACATTTTAAGGAAAATGCTGAGCAACATATTTGTTTTTAGGTGTGTCACCTAGTCATGTTTGGGTGATGCATGGAGTCTCAGGATTCCTTCTCTAACAGTTCATTTTCTAGTCAGTGCACTGACCGGATGCACCTGTGTCCCTGTCTCAAGGCAGGTGGACTCTGTAACTAAGCTCCTAGGAAGATCTCATAGGAAGATACATGGAAAATACAATCTTTTAAGTGTAGTACATCTGTGTCATCCAATCAAGGCACTTCAAAGAGAGTGTTACTCTTGATCTTGTCCAAAAGGCGAGGAAGTTGTCAGTTTGTTAATTTGACCTACTTTGTTTAATTTTCTTATATTCTATATTCTAACTAGTTTCTTAAATGGCTTAAACATAATTTAGATGAGCTGTATATGCTTATGGCATTCAAAATTGTCATGTGTATATTTGTTTACTTTGTGATATCAAAGAGAACTGGGTGTTGAGTATGCAGTAATGTTTTATTTTTTATAATTTCATTTTATTTTGAAGAATGAAAACAAGAGAATGAAAAACAAAGACAGAAACATGGTAACATATAGCAATACATATGCTGCAGACTGGCATTGAAAGAATAGCTGATTATCAATAACTGATATATCATATATTCATCAAATCTGATGCTCAGATTGGTAGACATAGTACGCAAGATTGGAGATAGGATTGAATAGTATTGCATGCTTTGAAGCAATCTGAAATTTTTGTTACTTTCAAAAATTTTTATTTGTTTTTCACAATAAAATGCTCCTTTACACTTTTGCTAAATTCACAGAATGGTTTGAGATACTTTATTTTTTCTTAGCTAGAATTATAGAAAGATTAAAAAAAACATGTAAGTACAAGGTATAAAATGTTTCAGGAATTCACCTCCTTTTCTTGTAAATTTTTCGAAAAATTTATGCACAGTTTACTCTGTATCTGGCAACCTCCTGTCCTGGGACAGCAATTGCGTCTGAACCTGAAGCATGTGCCTGTAATCCCAGCTCTTGGGAGGCTGTAAAGAAGAGGATCGCTAGGAGTCTAATCTAGTAATGAGACCCTGAACACTCTGTAGACCCTTCTATAAAAAATACAAAAGGAAAAAAATCTAATTTGAAGATGGAATGCATGCATTGTAGTGAGAGGCTTACAAAGGGAAGCAATACAATGCAGGATAATTATAAGATTCTTTAAGAGTCGTCACAGAAAGAATCACATAGAAAGGTTATGAAGGAAATCTGTCCATACACTATAGACCAAACAAATTCAGCTATGGTCTTGAATCACAGGCTATGACTTGCATGAGTCCAGCTGAATACCTAGAGCCAAAAACAATGTTTGCATGAGTTAACTGGAGTCCTAGAGTCCAAGACAATGTCTTTTGCAGGCCTGTTTCATAGATCTTCTCTATAAAGAACCAAAACTCAGTGGTAGAAGCTAGAAATTCTGTGTCAGCAAGCTGCATGTTCTGTGCCAGCAGGTTGATGGATCTGAACTGCACCCAGGAAGTGAAATGCTAAGTGATAACTAGAGGTCCCTGAAAAGTACCACAGC